AAGGAAATTGTGCCCATTTTCAATATTACTAGATTTGGGGTGCTTAGTTATAGTCAGATCAGAATCAGCCAGGAAAAATTCCCAAGCCCCCAATAGCAAGTGGAGATGGTGGGTCATGGGGGTAGGACTCTGCATGGATCACATAAATTCTCAAACTGTACATCACATTCCCTAGGATAGGAATAGCCCTCCTGTCATGGTGTAGAATGAAGCTAGAGAACAATAACGACAGAGAGCTTTTCTGCACCAGCGCTTGTGAAAAGCCAGCAGTGCAGACTGCTCCTCAGAAGAGCTTTCTGGCAGCTTGAAGAACAGCAGGCTGTGACTCACAGATGTGCTTTCTGGGAAGTTATTAGCCCATATCCTCAGATCTGACTTAATGAATCTAGGTGGAGCTCTCCACACTGGGTGAAAACCAAAGCCAAACTCTCAGAAGTTCCCAAAGGCAGACAGACAGACTGTCAGACAGATGGCAGGCAGACTCACTAGGCAATGCTGACCCTGCACTTACATGATAACAGGGCAACTTGTGGGAATGTGTGCATCTCCTTCTGGCAATGGGAACCAATAAGATCCCATGAGCCTTCCAGAAGTACCTGCTTTGTGCTCTGAAACACACAGCCCAGGCCCCAGGGGCTCTTTATGCAAATTTGTTCAATGGGCACTTCAGGGCTTAGGCCTGGCTCCGTTGATTCTGATTCTACTCCTGGAAGAAAAACCACCTCTTTCTGTCTTCAATAGAAATAGAAAGTTATCTCCAATTAATCACTTTTCTGCAACTAATCCCCTAACTAATTGTTGTAGCAACAGTTAACCGCATGTCTTTTGATATTTAAAATGGTTTTGTTGTCGATTTGAGTTAGGGACTTGCTATGTTGCCCAGGTTAGCCTTGAATTCCTGGGTACAAGCAATCCTTCCTCAGCTTCCTAAGTATTCAGTGACTACAAGTGTGTGTCATGGCACCAAGCAAATTAAGTCTATTTAAAATGATTATGATGCATATCTCCTGCCTGTGGCTAGTATCCCTGTCCTCTGAGACTTTCCCACCTTCAGCCTTTAAAGCTCCTGATAGAAGAGTTCTTACTGAGCTGGTATACTACCTGTGAAGGCTGATTGTGTTAGGTATCACCTGTAAAATAAAGATAATCCTTCTAGACAAGCACCAGTGTGGCTTGTAATAGTAGATACTCAGGAGGCAGAGACCAAGAGATCATAGTTCAAAGCAAGCTTGGGCAGACAAGTCCATGAGATATCTCCAAAATAATGTAAGCAAGCAAGCAAGTAGTCCAGGGCACTAGAAAAAGCTCAACTAGATAGACACAGAAGCTCAGAGGAAAGGATGTTTGTTTAGGTTGAGACCTGGGGAATGAACAGGAAATCTTCAAGGTATGGTGGAGGATGAGGTAGAGGGGGAAGCAGCTCAGGCAGAAAAATGCGAGGAGGCCTGGTATTTATAAGAAACTACAAGCATTCCCACAAGGCTGCCCCCAAGATTCTCCCAGTAAGGCACAAAGTCAACCATGAGCAGGGCTGCTGGGGTAAGCAGCAGGTGGGGAGTCTTTGGGCTTCAGCATTCGAGCACTTAGCAGGTGCTGGGGGAATGCATCACTGAGCACAGGCCACGCAGGGGGCGGCTTGCAGGGAATGCAGTGAAGACCCCCCACATGCTATCTAACTCAGACATCCCACCCCTTCACTGGGGCCTCTGGGGGGCGGGGTATGTCTGAAGACTGGCTTCCAGAGGATTCTTTTACAGAAAGGCTGGCTTCTAAGAGTCAAGACATGTAACAGAACGCAGCATGGATGAATTCTGGGGCCCAGGAAGAGACCCAGGTTGCAGAGCATGGCCTAGAAAGGCCAAGGGGATGGAATCCTCAGCACTGAGGAGAACTTGGGCTTGGCTTTCCTTCTCAATGAGGCGGGCCTGGGAAGCCAGGCCTTACCTGGGCCATGGGAAACATCCTGAACTTCTTCAGGAGTTGAACGTCAAACGTCAAAGCAAGGGGCAAGTTAACATTTCAATTTCAAATTTCCAATCCAGTTTTCTTATTATAAGCCTTACCCCAAAGACACGCGTGACTCACCAAACACACCAGCCCTGGGAGCCGGAGGCCTGTTGCTGCTGTAGGCCAGCCTTGTCTGATCTGCACTCCACAGGACTCAGGTGTTGGTGTCTCTCTAACAGCCACAGAAAGAGAAAGACCAGCCCTTCTCCACACTCACACCTCCTCCCTAGGATCTAGCCACCTTCCCATTCATCCGCTAAGCTTTCAGCTCCCAAGCTGTAGACAAATGGGGTCAGGAAAAAGTAGCTGAATTATTATCAGGGATGAGGAGACAATGTTCAAAGCCATTCCAGGGGCCACAAGACTGGATGGAGAGGCAGAAAAGAGCCATGAAAGGTAAGCAAGATTCAAGGTCAGAATTCCAGCCCCACCACACGATCCCTGAGGATCTGGTATACGTTACTTAAGCTTCTATTGAGTTTCAGATGATTAATTATAAAATAGGAAAAATAATGTCTTGCATTTCTCCCAGCATCTACAACAAAATGAGTGCCTGGGAAATACTCATTTTAATAGCAAGTATTTTATTGCCTACTTGCCTCATGACATTTATCCTACATTTATCTTCTACTGGTGCTGGACTTGATCCCCCAGCCCCACCCGAGTTACTCTCCTGGGCAGGTGAGGGCAGTGACTGTATCACACACCCTTCCTTCCCATATCTCTCACATTTAATGTGGGTCAGTATCTATATCTTAGGAGACTGATTTATCCAGATTTTGAGATTTCTAGGGGACAATAGTGCTTAGCTGTTTCTAGCACTCAAGGCACACAGAATTCTCCCCTTAATGAGTAAAATACAGGGATATTGTTAACTTTTATTTTTTTTCCTTACAAGTAGCCAGTCCACAGAACAGGTAGAGCAGTGGCGAGTTATGCACAGGGCTGGAGTGACACTGTCTGGAGTATCCACCATTTCTCAATAGTGTGACTTTGTGAATAATTGGAACTCACCTATAAAATGGGGATATTCAGAGTACCTGCCTCATGAAGTCATTGGGAGCATTTAAAGAGTATGTGGAGCCAGGCACTGATGGCTCATGCCTGTAATACTAGATACTCAGGAGGCTGAGATCTGAGGATCATAGTTCAAAGCCAGCCCTGGCAGGAAAGTCCATGAAACTGTCATCTCCAATTAACCACCCCAAAACTGGAAGTGGCTCTGTGGTAGAGTGGTAGAGTGATAGCCTTGAGCACAGAAGCTTAGGAACAGAGCCCTGAGATTGTGAGTTTGGGTTGCATGACCAATAAAGGAAAGAAAAGACAAAAACTAGGGTTGGGAAGGTGGCTCGGCGGTAGAGTGCTTTCTTCGCTTGAGGCCCTGGGTTTGATTCCTCAGTACCACATAAGCAGAAAAAGCTGGAAGTGGTGCTGTGGCTCAAGTGGTAGAGTGTTAGCCTTGAGCTGAAGAGCTGAGGGACAGTGCCCAAGCCCAGATTTTAGGCCCCACAACTGACAAAAAACCTAATTAATAATAATAAAAAAAAGGGTATGTGGAAAGCATTTAGAGTTAATGTTGAATAAGTACTCTTCCTTATTACCATCAGTCATTATCATTACTATCATCACAATCATTCATTATAATCATCACCAGCACCAACCTTCAGCATCACACTACCACCACCACTACCACCATCATTAGTACCACTAGCATCACCACTACCATCACTGTATTATCCTCAATAGCCCCACCACCATTACCACCACTACCATCATCATTAGTCATGAAATCTCAACTCTTGCTTATTGGGCTGGATTCCTTTGTTTACTGGCAATGCTGAAAATCTCATCCCAGGTAAAAATTTTGCCACCTAACCACAGAGTGCACACTGCATGGCAGAGGGCTGCAGGGCTGGGTTGCCTTTCTGGAAAAGCCAATGTGGCAAAGTGACTTGCAAGCCATAAAATGTATTGTAACTATCTAGACATAGTAACATAAATATGATCGGAGTTTCTGTTTACCTGACAACCTTCTATGAACCAAATACTGTGCTCACTGTCTCTCATAGGTCTACTCACCTAATGCTCCTCAAGCACCCAAAATGTTAAGATTCTTTTCCTCCTCCATTTTAAAGATGTGGGGAATGGCACCCACTGAATCACTCAAGGTTGCAGATGGAGTTCACACTCAGATCTGCTGGCTCTCAGGTTTGTGTTTGTATCTCCTCAGTCATGTGTGGGTTAAACAGAAATGTTCTTTCCAAGATGGCTGGAATGCCAGTGGCTGATTTCCAGCCAGATGCCAGCAATCCTGCTCTCAGATTGTGAGAGTTGTGCCTCTGATCCTTTAATAGGTACATAGCATCTCAACACTGCAAGGCATTGCTTCACTCTGTCAATTTGAACCCCTTTCCCTGGTTCCAAGTTAACTTCTTTGTCTACCTTGGGAGGATCCAGAGCTAGGATGACATTATTAGCATTGAAAATTATGGGGTTTTTTTTTGGGGGGGGGTCCGGTTGTGGGGCCTGAACTCTGGGCCTGGGCGCTGTTCCTCAGCTCTTCAGCTCAAGGCTAGCGCTCTACCACTAGAACCACAGCACCACTTCCGGCTTTTTTCTCTTTGCTTATGTGGGGCTGAGGAATTGAACCCAGGGCCTCATGCATGCAAGGCTAGCGCTCTACCACTTGAGCCACAGCGCCACGTCCGGCTTTTTTCTTTTTGCTTATGTGGTGCTGAGGAATCGAACCCAGGGCCTCATGCATGCAAGGCAAGCACTGTATCACTGAGCCACCTTCCCAGCCCCCAAAATTATGGTTTCTGAGTCTAAGGATTTTCAACCTAGACCAGAGACCATTTTGCTTTCTAGCTAAGATAGCAAAACAAAATATAATCTACTTCCATCTGCAAAAAAAAACCCAAAATGTTTTCTTTCTAAAGTCAAAAGAACACTTTATAGCTACAAAAAAAAGACAACAAACAATAGTAGCTTATTCTGCTTTAATATCCCCAAAGATGTGTGCAAATGGAACTACATTGCAAATCGAGGCAGAAATCCACAGACAAGTACGTCTCACTCAGAAGAAAACCAATTGGAGAGAAGGCACCAGAATTTGCACTTTGTTGACTTACATGTAAACAGTAAACTGGGGGAGGGAGAGGAACATTTGCTGTCATTTCATGGGTGCATCCTAGGGATGAAAGATGGCCTGGAGGGCTGGCACTCAGCCTCAGCTTCCGCTACGGTGTAAACAGTGCCTGGTGCTAAGGAGACAAACACCCACACAGCGGCAGTGCAGAAGGGCATGAGGAGGAGTGGACATTAAAATTGCCCACCCTCACAGCTCCCAAGGGTATCCCACTGGCAGTGTCTTATGAATGCACCGTTTGTCAACAACTAGGAAGTGGACAAATCAAATCCTAAAAAAGCCCGGGCAAATGCATTTTTGTGTCTGTCCATGCTCCTCAATCAGATGGCGTGGCTGGGCTGCAGGTGGAGGGACATACCCCAGGGGCGGTTTTCTTAGGTGATGACGGTGGGCGCGGTGCGTCCCGTCCTCTCCTGGAGCTGAGAGACCTTCAGAGCAATGGCAATGAGGGGGGCCAACATGACCTAAGGGAAACACAAAACAAAGAACTTTTTCTACCATTTTAAATATATGCTTAGCTTCAAACCTAACAGCCCCTGATTCCAGAGTCTACTCCAGATGTCACAAAATTCTTCTAACTCTGTTAAGTCTAGGCATACAATACACATTAATGATTATAGGCATCTAGTAAATCTCAGATCTCAGCTACGGGGAGCCTATGTATCTGAAATCCTGTACCTTTAACCACAATCTCCCTATCCCTGCAGCCTCCAGCCCTGCTAACTACCTTTCTACTAACTATTTCTGAGTTCAGCTTTGTTTGTAGATTGCACGTATGCATGAGATCATGCAGAACTGATCAGAGCCTGGCCTATTTCACTAAGGATAATGTTCTCCAGGTTCACCCAGGTTGCCACAAATGGAAGGACTTCTTCATCTTTCTAAGGTGGAATCATTTTTGGTGATGTGATTGTGACCCATCTCTATCCCTTTCATCTGCTGATGGACACGTTAGGTTGGCACTACTTGGCTGTTATGAATAATGCTACAATGAACATAGACTGCAGATGTTTTTGAGGGTAATGACTTGAGTTCCTTTGGATATACACTAGAAGAGGGAATGCTGAATCACATGGTAGTTCTGTTCTCATTTTTTTTTTTGTCCTACTCCTGGAGCTTGAACTTAAGAGACCAGGGGCTGTCCTTGAACTTTTGTGCTCAAGGCTAGTGCTCTACCACTTGAGCCATAGCTCTACTTCTGGCTTTTTGGTAAGTTGCACAGACCTTCCTGCCCAGACTGGCTTCGAACTGTGATCCTCAGATCTCAACCTTCTCAGCAGCTAGGATAGCAGGCATGAGCCACTGACCCTATTCTTCAATTTTTTTTGAAACTTCTATATTGATATCAAAACAGCTGCACCAATTTATATTTCTACACCAGTGTGCAATTATGTTCTATTTTCTCCATTTCTCTACCAACAGTTAGCCTTTATCTTAGACAATAAGCATCCTGACAGGTGTGGTTATATCTCATTGTGGTTCGGATTTGCATTTCTCTAGTGATTAGTGATGCTGGTCAACTTTTTGCATACATGTTGACCGTTTGTATGCAAGTGCCATTTAACAGGGCATCTTAGTACAAGTCCTCTTGGCGCCTTTACAGTACAGTAGGTGTTGTGAATGGCCAAGAGGAGGGAATGTAGCATGCATAAATGTTCTGTAGCTATGAAGCTCTGGCTGCAGGGCATGTGGCAAGAAGGAGGAACTCACTTGGGGAATGCCCCTGTGCCCCACTCCTCCTAATTCTTCCACTTTAGTGACTATACTCCAAGTTCACGGTCTCACCCCGGGTCCCTTCCCACTCTGACCTACCCCTGGAGATTCTTGTGAGTAGGATTGGGAACTCAACCCATCAGGCTACAAGTTGGCAGACTTTTCTTTGAATACTCATAAAACTGCCTCTCCTTGCTGGAGCAGGTAATCCACCAAGCAAAGTGATGAGTGACAGGCCAGAACACCAGAGAGGGGCTGATATGAAGATTAGTGGTGCGCATCAGTAATACTAGCTACTCAGGAGGCTGAGATCTAAGGATCAAAGTTCAATGCTGGAAAGTCCATGAGACTCTTATCTCCAAGTAAAAGACAGAAGCAGATCTGTGGTTCAAATGGTAGAGAACTAGCAGCTTTTAGCAAAAGAGCTAAGGGACAGCAGCACATAGGACCTGAGTTCAAGCCCCAGTAGTGGTGCGCACGCACACGCACACACACACACACACACACACACACACACACACACACACACACACAGGTTATCCAGTGTTTCCTACTTTCTAGGCATACAAACCTATTCAGCATTGCTTAACCTTTCTATGTCTCAGTTTCCTAGTCTGTTAGTTGAGAGTATAATACTTCACATCATTTGAGAATTAAATGAATACATTTGTGCTATAAGTTTGAAGTAAGAGTTGGGCAAATGCTCAGATCTTTGTTTCTTATTATTGTTGTTGCTAGTAGTGTTTGCTATTGTTGCTGTTGACCTAATGAATGAGACATAGAGGAAAGTGTGCACGACTCAGTGCAAGCACTAAAGTAGTCAGGGCGCAGGGACTGGGTATTACCTGGGGGTCCTGGTTGATCTTGGCAGCGTCCTTTTCGTAGCTATCGATGTACAGTCGAATGGTGGCTCCAGCACTCCCAGTACCGCTCAGACGGAAGATGATTCGAGAGCCATCTGCAAAAATGAGCCGCAAGCCCTACAAAAGGTAAGCAGAGGTTTTGTTGTTGTTGTTTTGTTTTTCCTCCACAACAGGCAGGAAGGGAGATTGAGGACTGGCAAACTAGAAGAGGTCGTCCATTTAGAGACCTAATCGCATCCATACTCAACCCATCAGAGGATTAGCTACTTGATAAATGGCAGCAACTGCGCCTCAGGGGTCTGCCTTCTGCCCGCCTCTCACTGCATCCAGACCACGGGACTTAGCTAATGCGGGAGACGCATTTCCAAGGTCAGGCGGGAGATATGATCTGGGTGAGGCTGGAGAACACGAGGGCTCCTCTCCCCTCCCCTCTGATTTATGGACTCCCCATTCCAATGTGAAGCTTACTAAACAAGTAAGTAGAACTGCTGGGTACAGAAATTTGATTCTCAGTCTGGCTGAAACCACAGCAGAAGAGTTTCCAGACAGATGAAGGAAAGGGCTCTGTAAAATGCTGGTTGAGAGCCTCAGAGAGCGAGCACGGGAGGTCACATGTTGCAGGTGGCAGCTGTGCCCAACCTATCAGACAGGACCCGCTGGCCAATGTCCTGCTTGTGTGTGATAATTCCAAGTGGGGTCCCATGAGGGGCAGGGATGATGAGCCCATCCTTCTTTCCATCGTCCTCTTTTCCCTCTCTGGAAGTACCTGAGACTCATTTCAAGGAAAAGTTGGGGACTCTGGGAGGAAGACGAGGCTAGACCACTGTCCTCAGACAGTCTATCAGTGCCTACGAGGGTGAACTGTGTTCGTGCAAGGAGAGGCTGTGCTCTTCCCCTGTTGCTGTCACCAATCCTCATCTAGTTTCAATCCTGCCATTTATTAACCATCCTCAGAAAAGACAAATGGAATATTGAATACATTCTCCAGTTGATTATCATAAAAATGTGCTCAGTTCTCACTCACTGTTTTTTGTTTTCCAGAGAGAGGGACACACCAGGTTAGTCTCCTTCCCCCACAACATCGAAATTCTAAATTTTAAACTCTATTTTGATTACTTTGCAGAAGCGCTGTCTTCTTTGGAATATTTTCCATCCTAGCTGGTGTTCCTCGTAAATGCTCAGGTTTTCAAATTCTACAAAACAATGCTGCAGCCTATTCCTTACATAGAGCAGCCCATAGTTACGAAGATAATCCCTGCTTCTACTTTTTCCAGCCCTTAGTACCTGGCACACAATGACAGAAACCTTAACAATTCTGTCACCACCCAGGATCGTCCAGTTGCTCAACTGTGGTATCCTGTTATGTGCTGCCTTGTTGGTTGAGTCACAGACATCAAACCATTAATACGTCTAAGTCCAGGAGTGTTTTGTAAGAATTTTGATCCTATGAAAGAAACATGTAGACAATACTACTTTCACAGTCCTTCATCTATAATCTTTGGTCAGAGAAAGAGAGGAGTTGATATAGAAGGCTACAGTTTACCTTTCCTAGATTCTAGCCTCCTTTCCACACATACACTTGAAATCTATGCATGGTTCCAGAGAATGCAAAAGTCCCTCTGCGTGTTGATTCCAAATTCCAGAGCACAGGTGATTGCACAAAACCAGGGCAAAATCCATTGTCCATAGGAGTGCATGAGAGTCTTTCTGGGAAATCAGTTGAGAATGATTACCCCAGGGAAAAAAATAGGCCAGCCTAAGATACCCTGGCCAGGGGCGTGTTCAAGTTTCTTTTGAGGTTTCAGAGATACAATCCCAGGGTTCTCCTCACCATTCTCCAATCTGGTCCTACCTGATGTTTTGAAACACTTCCATCCACTGGGTCATTGTATTCAAAGTTATCCGCTTTCTCCACAGTGTAGACTTTGTCATTTGCAGAGAACTGCTTCCCCACAAAGGAGCGGTCCAACATCAGGGCCTCCAGGTCCTTCATCATCTTGTTTGCGCCCTCCGCTTCGACCTCCTCGTAATCATACCTGGAAGGAGTCACATTGTTGAAACTCTAGGCTGACTTCAGAGCACACTGAGGTACATAGCCCTGTCTTCATCATTTTCCTGGCCCACCTCTAGAGCTCTCTAACTTCAACTGGCAGAAACAGCCTGTTAGCTATTGGGATGGAGCAGGCCAGAATCAATGGATGATTTCATAGAAAAGGCAGGGTCTTCTGAATAAGCAGAAAACTCTTATCTTGGCTTCTGTATGGAGTAAAGCTCAAAGATGCTTTAAAGGCTCTGGAGAGATACCAACTAACATTGTACCCTTACCTACTGAGGAAGAAAAAAAATCAAAGCTCTATTATCTCCAGAGAACTCCACATCAACAAGCTCAGCGCTCAAGGCCATCTCTTCCCACCATTTTGCGATGAAGGCTGGGACTTTTCCCAGTCTGTGACCTGCCTCAGGTTGCTGAGCCTGGCTAAGGAGAGTGCCAGGCTCCACAGGAGCCTCCTAGCAAAGCCAGGGTTTCACTGATCAGAACAAGGAGCCACCAGCTAACTTTCTACACTTGAAAAATCTGCTCATACTGCTTCAGAGGGATGGATTCAGGTCCAAAATGCTTTGACTTCACCCTGATAGAAGATGCTCCTTGAGGATGCCAAGGGGCATCCTATTTTTCCTTTAAAACTTGACCTTAACTTTGTTCCTATCAGGTTAAAGACTCTTACAGGTTTTCTTTTTCTTTTCTTTTTGCTGGTGGGGGGGCTGAACTCTGGGCCTGGGCGCTGTCCCTCAGTTCTTCAGCTCAAGGCTAGCACTCTACCACTTGAGCCACAGTGCCACTTCCGGCTTTTTTCTGCTTATGTGGTGCTGAGGAATCAAACCCAGAGCCTCACGCATGCAAGGCAAGCACTCTACCACTGAGCCAACTTTCCAGCTCCTCTTGCAGGTTTTCTTGATCCAGTTGTCACATTCCCTCTTAAAGAGAATAATTTTTTCAGAAGCTCAAATGAACAGAGTCTGTATTTGTTTGCAATAGTAAAACAAATACTATACAAATATATATAAGATGACACCTTTGGGACATGAGAATACTAGGGGGTTAAGGTCAACTTATTCCAGTAGTCTATGAGTCAAGAATAAGACAGACCTCTTAATCTTGAAGTCAGCCTCTTCCCCACAGTGAATATGATAAAGAGCACGAAATTACAGCCAGGTGCTTATGCTTTATGTCTATGACCCCTTTGGGTGTCCAAGGGAACTGTTTTATGAATCCTAGGCACAGGGGGGTGGAATGGTAAGAACTTGGGCCTTACAGTCAGGTAGACCAAGCTATGACTCCAGCCTCTGCTGCTAACTGTAACGTTTAGCCAGTTTTCTGATCTTCTGGAACTCAATTACCTTGTCAATAACTGTTTAGAGGCAGATGTGACATAATTAATATAACGTGCCTACTAGTATTGTGATTCAAAAAGTGGAAATTCTGAGTACTTGATTTGTAATTATGGTTAGCAGTTATCATTGGCAAACAACCCAATTAGTTTATCATTAATGAAAATACGGTAAAATAGTTTCTGAATGGAAGGGATTTTGTTTTTGTTTTTTGTGGGTTGTGGGGCCTGAACTCTGGGCCTGTTTGTCGGTTGTGGGGCCTAAACTCTAGGCCTGGGCTCAGGCCTCAGCTCTTCAGCTCAAGGCTAGTGCTCTACTACTTGAGCCTCAGCACCACTTCCAGCTTTTTCTGCTTATGTGGTGCTGAGGAATCGAACGCAGGGCCTCATGCATGCAAGGCACTGAGCCAACTTCCCAGCCCCTGAATGGAAATTTTTAACTACTTTAAGAATGACTCTCTTAGCTAAATGCAGTGGCTCATGCCTGTAATCCTACCTACTTGGGAGAATCGCAATTTAAGACTAGCCTGTGCAAAAAAAAGTGTGTAAAACTCTATTTAAACAAATAAAAAGATAGGTACAGTGGCATGCTCCTCTCACCCCGGGTTCATGGGAAGCATAAACTGAAGGATTGTGGTTGAGGCTAGCCTAGGCAAAAAATGACATTCTATTTGAAAAACAACAAGAGCAGAAAGAGTTGGGGCATACCTCAACTATGGCTCAAGTGATAGCAAACTTGTCTGGCAAGCACAGGCCTCAAGTTCAAACCCCAGTTACTACCACTTCTTCCCAAAAAAGTAACTCTCTGAACAACTGCTTCTTACCTGATTTCACTCTGACTGCTGTTCATGCATTGACTTATTTACTTATCTATTCAGAACATATTTACACAGTGACTTCTATGACTCAGAGGATACAAGGGGACGCAAAAACAGATCTAGTCTTGATTTTGTAGAATCTAGACTCTAGCAAATTCATAACTGCTGCTGTGAACCACCAGGCTTTCTGGCTCCTGGACAGGACTGCTACATAGTAGTAGCTTTTATCTAAGCTTTCAACAAGGGAGAGTCTTAACTTCAGTGACTTATGCTTCTTAACCAGTATCCTTGATTATGATGATACTCTCTTAAGGAGCCCCAGTTGCCTATTTCTGCATTCTTTCTTGACTCTCTGAAGATCAAGGATATTGAATCTGAAATACATTTTTAAATAACGACCTAGTCCAACTCACCCATTTAATTTTATTTTTTTAAAAAGGTGACTGAAGTCCAGAGAAATTACATCCATCCATTTCTTACTCTACTTCTTTTTAAATATTTTTTTAACATTTTCTCTTTATAATTTATACTGAGATCTTGGGGAGGGGATTTTACACTTATTAGAGGACAGGCACATTGGAACTGGTGAAAACCTGTACTAATAAAGAAATTTTTCTTTGTGTTCTTGAGTCTCATGAACACTGAGCATACATAAATGTGCTATGTGTGACCTACAGGCTCAGATGCATATATCTTCAAAATAGAAGTATGCATGGTAAAGATGAAAGGTTCTGTTTTATTCACTGCCAAATCCCTGGAACCTGGCAGAAAGCATATATATGGTAAATATTTGTTGAATCAATGAAATATTGACAAGTCTACAGCCTTTGAGAACCTATTCTTATTTGCCCTAAGCATAATTACTTCCATAATTAAAGAAAAATTCTACTCTTTAGTGTTTGATGGTTTAGAAAACACTTTCCAACTCATATTTCCTTTGATTCTTTCAGTAGGTAGACTAATCTCCATTTCTACAAATGAGAAAACTAAGTATAAAAAGAGGTTAAGTGTCTTCCTAATTTAAATAAAGGGAAGAAATGAAATTCAAATCCATTTTTCTCATTCAGAATCCAATGTTATTCTTTATGCTCATCCAACAGGTACATTTTTAAATACTTATATGAAAGCATTTGATTATGTTGACTAAATACTTTAAGCTTCTTTCTTTATAGGTGATAAAAAAAATACTTCATCTTGACCATGAACAAATCATTTTAAAAGCTTCCAACTGGTAGAAGCTGGATCAAATTAAAGCTTCCTTATTGCTTCAAGCAAGAAAAAAAGACATTGTATGTATAAAACATTTCTCTGCCCATGCCCCCCACCCTACCTCAAACCCCAGACAGGTGGCCTGTCTCACCTGGTGAAGAAGTTCCGGCCAAACTTCTGCCAATGGTCTTTGAGAATGTCCTCCACACTCTGCTTGCGGGTGGCTAGAATGGACAGCCAGGCAAGGACAGCCCACAGCCCATCTTTCTCACGGATGTGGTCAGAACCTGGCAGGAGGGACACGTTTGATCAGAAATGGGGCTTCACCAATGGGGCATAAACTCAACAGTGATCACAACAAACCTAATAAAAATAGTCCCAAAACTTGCCTAAAATTTTGAGTAAACAGAGTCACATATTGAATAAAGAAACACAATACTAAGCAAGAAGTTTCTGCTTCCCAAAGTAATTTAGAAATTTAAGACAAATGTTAGTATATAATATAGGTAAAATAATTTGGCAGAAATGCATGTATCAATTACCAAAAAAACCTAAGGGAAAAAATAAAGCTTAAATAAGCAGGAAAGAAACACTACCCAAATAAAATTATAGCATCATTTAACAAAAGAAAGTGATGCATGACTTTAATTCTAGTGCTTAGGAGGCTGAAGCAAAAGTATTGTGAGTTCTAGGTTAGTCTGGGATATACAGTAAGATCTTGCCTTTATAAATAAATCAAAAAAATCAAAAATAAAATCTACAGAGAGAGACCCAAAGTCAGAGAAAGATTTGACTGCATAATAGGTCTCACTTCAAGGCAGTAGGGAAAGAACAGATTAATTTTTCTTTCCTTTAGAAATTTTGGCTAGTGGGGTTTGAAGTTGGCCCTATACCACTTGAGCCATGCCCTTATCTCTTTTTTGCTTTTCATATATGGTCTTGAATTTATGCCCAAGTTGTTCTGGACTGTAAGCCTCTTATTTATACTTCCTGCATAGCTAGAATGACAGCTATATGAGCCACCATGCCCAGGTAGTTCCAAAGTTTTGACTGAGCTGTCCTCAAACCATGATCTTCCTGATTTCTACCTCAAAATGGATTAATTTTAAAATGGTGTTTATATAACTGGTTCATTTGGAAAAAAATGTTTATTCATCCTACAAGACAATATCAAAGAGAATTCTAGCTGACATAAAACCTTCAAGGCAAAAATTGAAAACTTAAATACTAAAAGACACATATACTTTTTTAAACTTGGGGGGGGTGATAAGTACATGCAAATTTTCTATTCATGCAGGAAAATAATTTACTTAAAAATTTCCAATTCTACATATTACATTACTACAGCTAAATTAAAAGGCCACTAGCATAGTCTGAAGAAAAAAAGAATATGCATAATTATAAGCCAGATGTTTCATACACTCAGTTCAGAAAAATGTCAATAGAAAAACAAAGATATACATAGGTAATTCACACACAAAAAAATTTACAGGTAATAAATCAATGTGATGAAAAAGAGAGAACCACATGCTACTTCCTTGACACCACAAGTTTTGAAACTAGGGGAGATACAAGGGAAATGGGAATCTAACAGGATGCAGTAGGAGAATGCATTGATATCCAATGTGGCAAAAAGTTCCAAAGCCTTAAAATTAAGCTTTCTGATAGAAAAGCAATTCCCATTCTAAATCATCTGAATTTAAGCAGTAGGGATTAGTCAAAGAAACCATGCCACATCTTTCTCATGCTCAAGTGTAGCGAAAATCTTTACCAAAAATAATTTTTTTTTTAATAAAAGGCTCTTTTGGATGCACTTGTGTTCAGGGAAATACTATTCCAAGAATAAGGGATGGAGCAGAATTTTCATTTTTTATTATTTAAGCTCCTTACTCTAAACAATATAAAATACAGATAATATTGAGCCCTTCTTTCTGATATATGAGTATGACTCAATACAATCCCTCTTGTGTCATATTATGCAAAAATTGTGTGTAAAAAAAAACTTGTGTATGGGGCTGGGAAGGTGGCTCAGTGGTAGAGTGCTTGCCTTGCAATGCATGAGGCCCTGGGTTCGATTCCCCAGCACCACATAAGCAAAAAGGAAAAAGCCGGAAGTGGCGCTGTGGCTCAAGTGGTAGAGTGCTAGCCTTGAGCTGAAGAGCTGAAGGACAGCACCCAGGCCCAGAGTTCAGGCCCCACAACCGGACCCAAAAAAAAAAAAAAAAAACTTGTGTCATATCTTGTGTCCTTTCTGTGTCTTCTTACCATATGATTTTGGAGCTTTCAAAATATCTAGCAAAACACTAGCCACTCGGTAGGCAAATGGTAAGTTCCCTTCCTTCCTGACTTCCTCCTTTTATACCCAGACCAAATGTCCTTTCCTCTTTTAGACTAGCTCCCAGCTTATTTAAACTGCAAAATGAGCACAGATGTCTTTGAGAAACCTGTACAAGACAAGACGGGCTGTGCCATCATCTTTGAGCCCCAATCATCTACTTTCTCCACTAACAATGCACCTCTTGAGGCATATGTTATTTATTTTTGTAACTAAGTTTGATGACTAGCAAGTACATGGAATGTGGCAGAAAATTAAAAGGGCATACATGAATGAATCATTCATTCATTCATCAATTTCAACATTATCTCTTTTTCTTTTTGGTTCATAAAAATAAGCAACTTTTCCCCAAGCTTCTTTTTTGTTTTTGTTTTTTTTGTGAGTTGTGAGGCTTGAACTCTGGGCCTGGGCACTGTCCCTGAGCTCTTCAGCTCAAGCCAAGTGCCCCACCACTTGAGCCACAGTGCCACTTCTGGTTTTCTGGTGGGTAATTGGAGATAAGAATCTTAGACTTCTTTCCTACCCAGGCTGGCTTTGAACCATGATCCTCAGATCTCAGCAGAATAGCTAGGATTACAGACATGAGCCACCAGGGCCCAGTTTCCCCAAGTTTTTTTTTTGGGGGGGTTGTCTGGTTGTGGGGCCTGAACTCTGGGCCTGGGTGCTGTCCCTCAGCTCTTCAGCTCAAGGGTAGCCCTCTACCACTTGAGCCACAGCGCCACTTCAGGCATTTTTCTTTTTGCTTATGTGGTGCTGGGGAATTTCGAACACAGGGCCTCAGGCATGCAAGGTAAGCGCTCTACCACTGAGCCACCTTCCCAGCCGCCCAAGTTTTTAACTTTGATCAGAAATCACTCATAAAAATAATAATCCTCATGACCGAGAACTGGCAAATTAGAGATAACAGGTAGTATTTGTCATGCTTTATACAACAAATTTTGGCAATGTTTTTCCAGTTTTATTTGCAATGGACTTTTATGTGCCTTTGTTGCTTTTTTTTTTTTTTTGGTGCTGGTCCCAGGGCATGCATTCAGGGCCTAGATGCAGTCCCTGAGCTTTTTTTTTTTTTGGCCAAAACTAGCTCTGTATCACTTGAGCTACAGCTCCCCTTCTGGCTTTTTGGTGGTTCATTGGAGGTAAGAGTCTCATAGACTTTCTTGCCCAGACTGGCTTTGAACCATGATCCTTGGACCTTAGCCTCCTGAGTAGCTAGGATTACAGGGATGAGCCACCAGCACCCAGCTTACCCTTACTGATTTTTAAGAACTTTGCCACTACACACAATTTTTTGCAAATGATGATTATTTTTTGGCAACAGTTCTTCATAAAGCAGAATTCTGGCAGCTTCTCCAATATGTAAAGAGTTCACAACAGCAGTATACAACTTGAAACTATTTGTCCATGTTCTACTTCCCTTTTTATTTAAAAAAACTTAACTGATACATAAAAATATACATTAATTTTTGTAAGAGACAAGACTGAAAGCATGGAGGTAATGTTTCTCCTCCAAATGAGAGACTTGATTTTTGTTCTTTCATGTGGAAATAAAAATCTAAGTCTTACTCAACTGTGACCCAATTGTTTGGAGATAACAAAACTACACACCTAATATTATAAATAAAGTATCTGCTTAGGTAAAAGAAACAAACACTCCATTTCATTTTACAAGATCCTTGGTCTGTCTGGTTATTTTGATTAATTTCATTAATCATCTTGGATATATAAAAACTCTAAGTAATTTGGTTATTACTCGGGAAGGCTGAGTAAATTCTATTTCCTGCAGTAGTGCAATGAATACCAAAAGGACTAGTGCAAAAAAACAACAATGGTTCATGTATATAGCTCAACAGATTTATATCTGAGGACTAGAAAGGCTGGTCCATGAGCCTGAATTCTGTCATTTCTATGCTTTTTGAAATGGAGTATACCACAATTTTTCTGAGCGTCCATGTTATCAATTATAAAAACCTCTCTCATTGTTATGACATTGCTATGATGTAACAAGAAGTACTTTGTGTCAAAGACTACACAAATTCCAGATACCCACTATGAAGAAAGACAATTTTTTTCAGCTTTTAGGGAAATGTCATGTTTTCCAATGGCCTCATTAAGCTTTCAAAAATAATGTCCCTCAACTATACATACTGGAGAAAAAGATGGAAACAATATAATCCAACATGCTTTGGACAGTGCAAACAGATTTTTTTAGTTCTTTCTTCTTTTCTCTTGATGAACACAAATTAGCCTGCCCCATTACGGTTTAACTTTTAAAGAGTAAAGGAAGCCAAGTTCACTTCAGTGTGAGGACGGGGAGAGCATTCTGAGCAAGCAGGCTGCCGTCCCAGCCTGCACAAAGGTAATCTGGGTTTTGCTTTGAGTTTCTTCATTTTCACTCCAGCTCAGGGAGCAACTGAGCACCCGGGAATTCCACCCCTTCAGCATCTTCAAACACCTGTCACTGCACTTTGGCCTAATCAGCACCTTGTGTTAAGTACAAACTCAGTCAGGGCATGCTCTGAGTCACAGCCAAGAAAAATGTCAACTCTCATTGAGGGAGCCAAGAGCTAACGGTTAGGCATTGGGTTACACTAGCCAGCACAGTCATCTCTGGAGCTGCCCTGGCTTCTGTCCCTGCCAGGTGACAGCAGGGTGGCTAGGGAGAGGGGGGACAGGGGAAGGGAGAAGTGGCAGCAGGACAGGGATAGGACAGCTGACAAACAGCTACATGGAGCTTTCAGAAGCATCAATGTCTGTTTCTTCTCCCTGCCCATTTCTCTCTCTCCTTGAATTCCCTGAATGTGCTATTCTCTGCCTAGAGATTTCCATCACACATACTACTATTAACCTGGCTAAGATCTCCTCCAACAACCTTCAACTCAACCCTCTTTGTCCCACTCTGTGTCACTATCTTGTCCCACAGTCACCCCTGCAGGGTCTGCAGTTGGTTCCAGAGTGGTCAATATGACCAGGAGGCTCTGTCCAGTCCCCTCCTTTGCTTCCTTCTCTGCTTGAAAAATGGACACTGTCACTTGGGAAGGATGGTAAGCTCTGCAGAAAGGCTTCGCCTGGCTACTCACTTGGAGAGGTGGCCCCAGGGGCTCCCCTCAGCACTCCTTCTACACTTGTGACCACCGTGGGACTTGGTTTCCTTCCCATAAGGTATCTTAACATAAACCTCACTTTATACCCAATAAACATGAATCAGTGGCTACATGTTCCGAGTACCAATATAAGTAAGGCATGTCTTCTGCTCTCGTAGATGAGTTCATACATACAGGTGAGAGACAGGCAGATGCTGTTTAACCAAGTTAGTTCCAATTAAGTTCTAAATCTTGTTCTGTTGGGATATTCTGTGTGGGATGCCTCCAGATATGGGAGGCAGCAATATTGCCTGGGGCCTTTGCCTAAAGGAAAATGTACTCACAGCTATGCAAGGGAGAATGGCCAGAGAACAAGACAGAACATCTAGGCCCCTATACCACAGAACCAGGCTGGGTACCCTGAGTACAATCTCCCAGAATACCCAGTAGACAATTGAATTGTAATTACCTAGCAAAGTCAGATTTCCCTTCCCAGATAGAAATTCATTTTGAAGCCCTTACTTGCTGTCAGCCTAACCCAGTATCTGAGACACAAATTTCAATTCGTATTTGAAGGATAAATTGGTACAAAGAAGGGCAAATACAGACTTAAAAAAGAAAAAAAGCATGTTTCCAGATACTGGTGGTTCATGCCTGTAATCCTAGCTACTCAGAAGGCTGAGAGCCAGATGGTTACAGTTCAAAGCTAGCCTAGGCCAAAAAAAAAAAAAATGTCTGCAAGACTCCATCTCTAAAATAAGCTACAAAACTGGGTTGGAGGTATGATTCAAGTGGTAGAACACCAGCAAAGAAACTTGAGAAAGCATGAGGCTCTTGGTTCAAACTCTGGTACTGGGAAGGAAGGATGGAAGGAGGGAAGAAAGGAAAGAAAGAAGGGAGGAAGGAAGGGAGGAAGGAAGGAAGGAAGGAAGGGAAGAAGGGAAAGGAAGAAGGGAAGGAGGGAAGAGAGAAAGGGAGAGAAAGAGAGAGAAAAGAAAGAAGGAAAGGAGAGAGAAAAAGAAAAAGGATAGAAGAAAGGTAAGAAGGAAAGAAAGGGTAACAATGGAAATATACAAAGCATTAATAGTATGTCTCTTCAAATGATCACTTCTATATGATACTTGATCACTTTTATAGATAGGACAAGGAAAAAATACTTCCAATCTCTACATCTAAATAAATATAACTTCCTGGTATATTCTATCAAGTTCAACCTCAACTAGGCTTCTTCTCCTTTTCCCCAAATGCCTCATTTTCCTGAAGGAATGTTTCAAAAATAGCAACATTCTGTACTATTCAGTGATTTCCCTTTGAAGCCCAAAGTAGAACAGGGCTGATGCTCTGCCCCCTGCCACTATGAATTAACTATCCAAAACCTAGTGCATTATTTTAAAACCTCAACAATACTATAAAACTTCTTAAAAATGAAATTTATATTAAGAAAAGTGCATGGGGCTAGGTGTGTAGCTTCATGGTAGAGTTCTTTCCTAGCATGCACAGGTCCTAGGTTTGAACCAAGAAAAATTTAGAAGTACAATGTCCAACTCTCTAGAAATAATCATTCTACCTACTCTTCATCTGCCAGGCTAACTTTGGAAAATCTGGGCTCAGTTCTAGGCATGAATTTCCAAAGCAAATACTAATAAGGTCAAAATATCTAGAAGCTGGGGCTGGGTCTATAAACAATATTAATGAAGAAAGACTGACAGACAGATAGGTTGTCTGGAGAAGGCAGAACCTGAAAGCTGATTCTAATAGCTGCTTTGTCTTTAAGCCTCTCTCCAGCTAGTGAACAAACCAGGCACTTCTGCTTGGCTCTGGGGTTCTTATTTTCTTTGCTCAGTGTTTTCCACATGGGTCGAATGAAAAAAGATGTTACTGGGTGTACTACCATGGGCAGAGGGGGGGGGTTCACATAGCATTAAAACTAGTTGCTATGGAAAACCTGGGCCTATGAAAGCGAAAGATTTAATGCTGTTCTGAAACTTCTTCTTAAATACAAAGGAAAAGCTGACTCACTCTACCACATTTCTTCTCAGAAATGAAAACATTTTTTAAGTCTTCTTTGGCTACTGCGGTAAGAAATCTATGTTTATCACTCTGTTTAATCCCTGCAGACTCAAAGGCCAGGCTGTCAAGGTGGCCCCCAAACTTCCTATCTCAGTAGATGTGATCCTTTATATTTAGGTATAATTGCACTAACAGAGTTCCTTGCAAGAGAATGTTCTGGAACATTCAAATATTTTTGTTACCATGAATATCCATGACAGAGTGGTATATTCTGAGACTACCTCCTAGGTTCCCTAAGCATTCATCTAGTGTCTCTTGGGAGAATGTAGTATTACCCACCTTTTCTCAAGTATGACAAGACTAAGCAGTAGTCTTGTGTACTCTGATTAAAGACCTACATCTTTGGGAAATTACTTAGCACCCTTGGTGGACATAGTACAAACCACCAAATCATCTATTTTTTTCTTTTTCTTTTGGTTGTGGGGCTTGACCTTTGGACCTAGAAGCTGTCCCTGAGCTCTTTTGTTCAAGTTTAGTGTTCTACCACTTTTGAGCCACAGCTCTACTTCCAGTTTTCTGGTAATTAACTAGAGATAAGAGTTTCATGGACTTTTCTGCCCAGGCTGGCTTTGAACTGCAATCCTCAGATCTCAGATTCCTGAGTAGCTAGGATTACAGGAATGAGCCACCAGTGCCTGGCCTCATCTATCTTTTGTTTTGGTCGGTTGTGGAGCTTTGAACTCTGGGCCTGGGCACTGTCCCTCAGCTCTTCAGCTCAAGGCTAGCATTCTACCACTTGAGCCACAGTGCCACTTCTGGTTTTCTGGAGGTTAATTGAAGAGTCTCACGGACTTTCCTGCCCAGGCTGACTTTGAACCATGATCCTCAGATCTCAGCCTCCTGAGTAGCTAGGATTACAGGCGTGAGTCACCAGCGCCCAGCCTCATCTATCTTTTTAAATACCTTCTAGTTCTATCATATCTATTCATTGTCAAAGAGTGCCACCAGTCTCCCAAGGATATTAAAGTGCTTAGAACTTTGTAAATATGGGCCTCAGAACTACCAGTTCCTCCCACCCACCCTACCTATGCATTTGTGGGAAAGGAAGTCAATACTCTGATCTATTCATCATAGCAGGAATTCTGACTCAATCGCAAGGTTGAGAGAATACTGAGTTTTGATCCCCTTTGCTTTGCTGAATGACGGCTATAGAATAACAAAGCATAAGAAGACTACTTTCTTTACTTCAAAATATTGGGTAGGAGCAATAGAAGAGATATACCTTACAACCTGGATGGAGACCAACGCAGGGCAAAACACACACCTGAGATGATCTTAGGGCAATAGAGACTGATAAAGGCATCATGGGGTAGTAGAAAAAGTCATGGTGGAGGAGGGAGCTTAGATCAGTACTTGGATGGGTAAAGAGGAGGAGGGAGAGCACAAAAAGCAGAATCTAAGTTTTGGATCACCCCCAGAGCATACCCCATTGTACTCTTTCAACGTGCTACACATGCACAAGGATGTATTTTTAATTTCTTGACCACCTACCAATTTATTTCCCTAATGGTCTCCCTTCACTTAGTGTTGATAAATCATAACTAGTTGCTTTGGAAAACCTGGGCCTATGAAAGCGAAAGATTTAATGCTGTTCTGAAACCTCTTCTTAAATACAAAGGAAAAGCTGACTCGCTCTACCATATTTCTTCTCAGAAATGAAAACATTTTTTAAGGCTTCCTTGGCCACTGAGGCAAGAAATCTATGTTTATCACTCTGTTTAATCCCTGCAGACTCAATGGCCAGGCTGTTAAGGAGGCCCCCAAACTTCCTGTCTCAGTAGATGTGATCCTCTGAAAGTAAAATTAGCCCTCCTGGCTGAATGCACTTGCTGCTTTTTAGATATGTATACTTCATTGGAGTTGTTATAAATAAATTGTGCTTTGATTTAGAACACATCAGCTACCCTGCTTATTTCAGTGCTATCTTAAGCAGTTTAAGTTTTCACTGGAGGTGGCAGATGTGGAGAAGAAAATGCTAGCACAGGGGTGCAACTTACCAGTCCCGAAGCTCTCCTCTCCACAAAGGGACAGTTTGCTTGCATCCATCAAATTCCCAAAAAACTTCCAGCCAGTTGGAGTCTCATACAAAGCGATCTTTGTAGCATTAGCCACCCTTCAAAGGCATGAAATCAAAGTTACATCACAGCAGGACTGTGAGCAGGGCCGTGTGAGGGATGGAAAAGAGCAACCATTATTGTAATCAAGGGTCCCATTCAGTACTGCTCAGGGGTAGACAGAATTCTAAGATTGGTGGAAAATCATAAGAGAAAACTTGGGCACAATGGGTTCTTCTATATGGACTCAGAGGGAAGGGGAGATGAAGAAGAAAGAAAAAAGTCAAATTACAGTTTAATATTTTAGAAGAAAAGAAGCAACAGCAAGAAAATACACAGGGATATCTTGGGAGAGATATTTAAATTCCTATGTTTTGGGTACAGATTGTGTCTACCCAATCTATAAAGACAAAAGAATGGTGTTTTGACAAACATAATCACAGAATTGGAATGTCAGCATTTTTGCAGAGGAGAGAATAGGGTCCAGATCAGCCTGGGTCACACAGGCAGGACGACTGACAGCCTGCATTCAGCTTTGCAACCAGTATTCCTTTCATCTCATCAGCAGGCTCCCAATGAAAGCACCAAGTGGGCTCTCCTATTTACCCCAGCCTCCCCAACCCTCTTTTCCTCTGACACATCTTCTACTCCTCAGCAGGTAGCTTTAGACTGTTTACAACCTTGGAGTGGAGATTGGAGCTTAGTAGAAGAGTATGTGGTAAGTATATACAAGGGCCTGGGTTCAATCCCTAGCACATAAATAATAAATAAATAAATAGAATATGTAAATACACAATAAAATGTTTGAGTGACTTTTTGGAAAATAACCTATCTTCTTCCCTTGGAACAGAAAATGTTAGCTGCTAAGTTTCACGTGCTGTTTCAAGTAAGCTTGTCTTCTTCCTAACAAAGCTATATCATATTTGGAACTTAACATTTAAAGACAATCAAATCTAGGATTCTGAATTTTTATTTGGGCAATAAGGTGTTTTGGTTACAAGTCTCTCGGTATATCTTATTATTTCAAAAATTGGAATTATACTGTTCTTTGGAGGTGTTTCAAGGCTCGACAAACACAATAGTGTGTCCACAAACTGACTTTCAGCCTCACATGTAGGAACTGAGAACACAAGCACCAGATTCTAGTTCCTGCTCCAATTTAGCTGTGAAGTCTTGGACAAGACTGCTAACTCTTGACCTTTAACTTTCCCTTCTTTAAAGTAATGACTGCTGGAGGGTCTGGGAATATGGCTTAGTGGTAGAGTGCTTGCCTAGCATGCACAAAGCCCTCGGTTCAATTCCTCAGTACTGCATAAACAGAAAAAGTCAGAAGTGGTCCCATGAGTCAAGTGGTAGAGTGCTGGCCTTGAGCAAAAGAAGCTGGGGGACAGTGCCTGGGCCCTGAGTTCAAGCCCCAAGACTGGCAACAACAACAAAAAAGGACTGCTGGGAGAATCAGATGAGGTGAAGAACCTAAGAAGGAGCATGGGACCCCCCAAAGACTATGTAGATATTAGTGAGTCTTTTCTTGTTAGCTGAAGTGAATCCAGAACTAATTCTGTAGCTTGTTTAAGAGGAAAACGTATGGGCAAGTGGTGAGGGGCTAGGCTCTGAGTCCAGTCCTGATTCAGCCATTTACTAGCTGGATGACATTTGAAGAACTTAAGTCTGTTGTTCTTGTCTTCTACCTGTAAAATGAGTTTATACCTAGCCTCTACCTAATTGGATTGGTATGAGATTAAATGACTAAAACATGCAAAGTAGTTAGTGTGAAGGTAATGTTCAGGAAAAGCTTAGCTATTTGAATGAGACTACATTTATATACTCAACTTTTCTCCCTATTCTTGACCTTTTAATTTTCCTCCTCCTTTTTATTGTGCAGGTCCTGTGGCTTGAACTCAGATGCTGTCCCTGAGCTATTGGCTCAAGGCTAGGGCTCTACCACTGGAGCCAAAGTTTCACCTCTGGCTTTTTTATTAATTAGAGAAGTAACAGTCTCACAGACGTTCTTGTCCAGACTGGCTTAGAATTACGATCTTCAGATCTCAGTCTCCTGAGTAGCTAGGATTAAAGATGTGAGCCACGAGTGCCCAGTTACTCACTCATTTTTGACTATTCATTTAGCAAAAAATTTCTAGGGCATCTGACATACTCTAGTAACATTTTCCTTGTTTTCTACTTGTTATTTATTACTTCTTACTTTTTAGTTTTTATGGGTATGGTCTCATAAACCCCCTTAAAGCCTTCATATAATAAAGTCATATATAATGAATAGAAAAATATACCAATTACCAATAAGCAAATCTGAGATATCAACTGTTTCCTGTCACTGGTTTCTATTACACAAAAACAATGTAATTAAAAAGTTTTTTTTTTTTTTTTTTTACCAATTTCATGTTTCTGTTTTAGATTTTGGACAAAAAATAAGTCCGATTGTGTGTGTGTGTATATGGCCAATCTAGTTCTTTTGAAACTTTAATATTAACTCAAACTCTTCCTTTGCTAAGTCACTGCATACTGCTGAAGAAATAATCCTTTAGAATAATGTCTTAGATACAGTGGAAGTGCCATCTATCCATTCATTCACTAACATGCAATCATTCATTCATCTTTTAAATGATGTGTGTGACCTACTGTTTCAGGCAAGCTATAGTCAGACAGGTTCTCCACAGGAGTGGGTAGGCTTCTTGGGCAGCCAATCAAGCAGATGGTCTATGAGGAGTTTGGTAATTGCCAGGATGGAGGAAGTACAGGTTGCTGAGGAAGCTCAGAAGGAAGTTCTAACCCTGAAAACACTCACCATCCATCCTCTCATACAAGAACTATGGCTACACAGAAGGGAGGAAGGGCTTTCAGGGAACAGTGAAGGGCATGGTGACCACCAGGATGATCTGGGAAGGGAGGACTGAGGGACTGGCAGACTTACCGATCTAGGGCACCACTTGTGGGCATGCTGCGTGCAAAGCCTCGGACCCCAGTCTGCTGGAAATATGGAATGCTGAAGATGTTGGCGGCAATGACGGCCACAGAGTCTGAAGGGTTCACAAAGAAGCCATGCTTGCCCAAAATCATGTTCCGATCCTTGGGAATAAGTGCGAGAGGCAAAGGAAGACCTTTAAGCTTTATAAAACTGACCCATTATCTCATCCTGAGCTTTAAACATGGGATTTTATTATTATTGGATTTGAATAGTACCAATGAACCAAAGGTACCTCCATGCCCAAGAGTTAAAACTGGTTTCAATTAAACTGTGAGCACAAACTCCTTGTGAGCTAAATCCTCTGTTCTCCCTCCAGAGGCTGGCTAACTTTAACCTCCTAGACCTTTTCCAAACTCTGGAACCAATCATGCCTCTCCCAGAGGAGAAGAGAGGATGCACAAAGAGGAAATATTGGCTGTTTATACAGTTTGATAGGTCTTCCAGACATCCAGAGAGAAACAAAGGCAGGTTTCTTTAAGATAGGGTTTCTAAATCATGGTCCCTCCATTTGGTACTGGACCCCACAAAATATGCTGCTACCTTCATGGCTTCTGAGTTGCCTAGTATACTCTTTCTTTCAAGTAATTGTAAGAGGGAGAAACTCCCAGCATGCACTGCATCAGAAAGATATATCACAAAATCATGTCTGCTAGAAGTCCCTTTAATTTTTCCAAATTAGTAACTCTTATTATAAAGAACATTAACATCAAAAAATACAAAGTTGAGTACAACATGCTTATGAGATAACAAGGAGATAAACTTGACTATGACACATATCTTCTTTGTCTTTACCTGGTCGCCAGTATAAGCAAAACATGTTTATAAATGTTTTAATAAAATGTAGTTCTCGATTTAGTCTTTATATAGGCAATAAAATTATAGTTTCACCGTTCAGCTGTGATGAGAGAATAGGTATAAAACTAAAACCTCTTCTAGATGTTAAAAGGTTTGTCAATAGGAGAAACCTATCCAGAATTCCATCAGCTTATGATGTACCTATCCTTCTATCATAACCAGCACTTAATAACCCTGCCATTCTTTTTTTTTTGGGGGGGTCCGGTCGTGGGGCCTGAACTCTGGCCCTGGGCGCTGTCCCTCAGCTCTTCAGCTCAAGGCTAGTACTCCACCACTTGAGCCACAGCGCCACTTCAGCTTTTTCTTTTTTGCTTATGTGGTGCTGAGGAATGAACCCAGGGCCTCATGCATGCAAGGCAAGCGCTCTACCACTGAGCCACCTTCCCAGCCCCAACCCTGCCATTCTTAACACATTGCTGAAATCAAATGCATGAATTTTATTCCAAACACTCTTGTTTCTGTTCAAGAGGGTCTTTTAATAACGTACTTCTGAACCAAGCACAATGAAGAATCCTGAGCCTGGCAGAAGCACCTGTTTTCGTTTTGTTTTTCCCATCTGCAAGCTGTGGCCTTCCATGCACTTGTACCCACCCCATCTCCATCGAAGGCGGCCCCAAAATCATGTTCTCCTGACTTCATGGTCTCCACCAGGTCAGCTGCATAAGTGAGGTTGGGGTCAGGGTGGTGACCCCCAAAGTCCTCCAGGGGAACACAGTTAACAGCTGAGTTTGCAGGGGCTCCGAGTTCTTCGCAGAGGATCTTCTTTACATATGGCCCAACGACTATATAAAGCACAAGTGAAAGTGAGAAGGATGAGAACCAAACATGCATTCTTGGAAGAGCACTATGGCAACAGTGGGACTGCAAACTGTCTTGGGAGGCTGGTGCAAAGTGAGCTGATTCCATGCAAGGGAGAATCCTCACTAGCTAGAGGCTCCATTTTTTTTTTTAACTATTGTAAAGCAAATAGTTGTATTCTCAGGTGAGAAAATCCCCCAGTTCTGGTTCACAGTGATGGCTGCTGTCTCCACTGGTGTGGTCATACAAGTAACCCACAGAGGAGGAAGAGAGGGAGACACATATCCTCTTGTTCCCTGAATTAAATCTTTAGCTTGCTCTTGTTCTTTTCTAAGAAAAGGAGCGTGGGGTGAGGGGTGCAGGGGGTTAGTGCTCATGAGGATGTTCACTACAGCTCAGAAACCTGGCTACTTCCCTCAGAAATCCACAGAAGCACCCACTAAGAATGTGAGTGATCAACAGAGGGACAGGCAACATCCACAGTAACAGTTGCAAGTGACTTAAAACCTTTATGTTTAATATGGAAACATGACCTTTGCACTAGCTTATCCCAAGAAGTGCCTCTACTAATTGGGGGCCTACCATTAGATTTTTACCTCTGAAATGATTGTGAAATAACTGTTGATACCATCAGAGCCTTGAGAAGAAGCTGTGAGGGGCTATGATCCCCACCGCAGAAACCAACTGCCTGTTTCTGAGAGGAGAGAACAGAAGAATGGTGAGTCTGTACCTCCATGCATGGCGTCTATACGAATCTTCAGTCGGTTTGGACCAGAAAGTAGCTCTTTCAGTGCATTGAAATCAAAGATGTTTCTTAGCATCGTGGCATAAGCTTCCACTGAATCCACAATTTCCACTGTGAGAACAAGCAATAATGGAAGAATGAAGGATGAAACATATTTAGAAATCGTTAACAGTGAAACAATTATATTGATATGAAACAGTAACTGTTTTAAAAGGACAACTACTGAGCAATTCCAATATGAAAAGCTGTTCATGACATCTTATTCATTATCAATCATTCTCTTTGAAGGTAAATGTTATTAGTCCTATTTTATAGATGAGAAAACTCAGGATCTGAAAAGTTAAGGAAGTTGAATATACAGTTGGAATAGGACACACATGAGGTTTCCAACAGCTTCTGTATAAACCACTCTGCCTCCGTATGTGTCCCCGTGATGGCTATATCTTGTTGTCATGTATCACTGAAAAGATAATACCTACTTTTATTTACAAGTTCATTCTCATCAAGACTTAATAATTAAAAAGCAAGGAACTTTTTTCTTTAAAGAATAAGTTTAAGCCAAGCACTGGTGGCTCATGCTTATAACATCAGCTACTCAGGAGGCTGAGATCTGAGAACTGGTGTTTGAAGCCAGGAGAAAAGTCTCAGAGACTTCATCTCCATCCAATTAACCAGCAAAAAGCCAGAACTAGAAACATGTATCAAATGGTAGAGCACTAGATGTGAGTGAAAAAGCTGAGTGAGAGCACAGCTTTTCAAGACCTAGTATACTGGCATTAAAAAAAGAGAGAAAAAAGGAAAGGGTCAGTTTTTGTATGTCCTGATAATGGAATAAAAGAAACATAGAAAGTTGGTATTATTCTAATTACTGGACATTTGGGGTTTCTGAATATTTTCAACATTGAACAGCTGATGAAGCTCTCTAGTAGGGTATTATAAGCACCAATAATATCTCTGAGATACACCACAGGACCACTTTATGTTTGTTAGGATGCAACTGCCAAATATAAGTTGCAAACTAGAGAGGAAAACCCATGACAGGGCAAAGTTAAAACCCAGGTTTCACTGCTAACCATGACATCTTCATTTTATTAACAAAAATAAATGTATAAACATTTAGTCCATCAATTACTGCAATGCCTTAACATTCAACAAAATGTTAATTTATCAACAGCTACCTTTGTAGGGCATTTCAATGCAGCTCAAAATCAATCTGATTTTACTGAGTATTGGGGCAGGAAGAAATGTGAAAGCTCAGGTTGAGAATCATTCACACTGAGTTTGAGTCGTGTTTTTACCATTCCCTCACTTAGTGAGTGACCTGGAATCTGTCACTTAACCTTTATTGGCCTTTGTTTCCTCCTCTGTAACTACACAGTACATCCCTACCAGGGCTACTGTGAGAATAAATGGAATAACACAATGAAAGAGCCCGGGGTACAGGAAGAGCTCAATCACAGTGATCTCCCAGTCTCCTAGTCAAAGCCACTTTGTTTTGGGGGAGGTGTGAAGGTGTATGTGTGCACGTGCACATGCGCCCACACACATGCATGTGCAAATCCTGGGACTTGAATTTGGGGCCTAGGTGTCTGTCCCTGGGCTTCTTTTTTTGCTCAGGGCTAGTGTTCTACCACTTCAGCCACAGCTCCACTTATGACTTCAAATCATGATCCTCAGATCTCAGCTTCCTTAGTAGCTAGGATTACAGGTATGAGCCTATGGCACACAGCAAAGCCATTTGGTTTGCTTGTGGAAATGAACCCTTGGGAAATTTGGGAATGAGTTATACCTAAGTCACAAGCTCAGAGAGCTCAAATCTCTGGACTGGTGAAAGTTAATTCCAAACCTGATTATAAATTAATACATTTAAAACATAGTGTCTACCATCTTTCCAAATCCATAGAGCCACTTTAATAAAATCATGAAAGGAAAATTGCTCAAATCTGAATAGAGATGAGCAGGAAGAAGAAATAACCATGCCTGTGAAGGGCTTGAACTTGTTTTCCAAGTCAAACTGCTGCTTTCCCAAAACACCGAGGTCTATATTCAGGTCAGGGCAAATTGCATATTCCTCAATAGTCTTGCTGATTTGGAAAATTTTGTCAGTGATTGCTTCTGGAGCAGGACCTGGAAATCAAATCGTAAACAATGAGCCATTCTATATGGTTCACCTGAAAATAGAAAACCTCCAAAGTTTCAGGTTCTTCTTCCCTAACACACTGACAATTGCTTCACTCACACAGCAGAGTAACAGGATTTTTCTAACAGAAAATGTTTGTGATGGTTGGTCCTATTCAGGTACAATGGAAGGAGAAGCATTTCAATGTCACAAAAAAAAAAAAAAAAAAGCAAAGATTCCTTGCAAAGGAGAGTGAGAACCATGGCCCCCAAGGCTTCTGGTACTGGTTTATCAACTCAATATAAAACTCAATATAAAAGATATCTCAAGATAACAGTCAGCTTACCTCCATTAGAAATATTGAACTTGATTCCAAAATCTCCATTAGGTCCTCCTGGGTTGTGACTGGCTGTTAGGATGATCCCACCAATGGCTTTAATTTTCCTAATGATGCAAGATACAGCAGGAGTGGAGAGAATTCCATTCTGTCCAATAACCAAGCGACCAATCTAGAAGAAATCCAGAGTACACCCTTGAACAGCCCATAAATCCAGAGCTATCACATGAAAATACCAAAGCAATAAGAAAATGGACAAACCAAACATTGTTTGACCAGAAAATATTTTCATTGTGAACATCTACATCCTGAATGTCTCCATCATATTACTGAAATAGAATCAATGTTGTTGAACAAAGACATTCCTTCAGAAAGCTTTTTGGGGACTTTGTAGTTTTAGAACAGTGTGTGGTCTGGGGGTGCTGTAAGACTCTGGCAGGAAAGCATAACAGAGCCTTTCCAGAGCTGGTTCATAAGTTAGATATACTAAAGAATAGTGAGAAGGCCCACATTTTTAATCAACCCAGTCATACTTTCAACCCACAATGGGGAAAATGTTACAGGTTGGGCTAGTTAAAGGGATTTGACCCAAAAAGAAAGCTTTTGTAATATAAGATTCTTTAAAACTAAATAGATCAAACATTATAAATCATAATCTATAATGCACGTTATAAATGTAGTATCCAATCAACTTGGGATTTTTCATGCAGTGGGACAACAGCTTGGGCTTTTGCTGCATTCCTTACTTCCTTACTTCACAGATGTTATCAGCCTGCCTCTTCCTTTGCTACAATGACAGTAATTTACATCTATTTCAACATAACCCAGGTTGCAAGTTTTGTCAATTCTTTTAGCTTGGAGAAGATGGGACTGCTATATGAAAAAGACTTATAATCTTGGAGTTTTGCCTTTCCTACATTCTCCTTTCTGAGAGAAGACAGGGACAGGAATGTTTAAATTTTTTCCATTAGTTATTTCTTTTGGCCCCTTTCCCCCAAGATAAATATGGTTGAAGAAATGACTTGATGGTAGAAGATGTGTTTCTAATGTGGAAAGTGCCACTAGAGAGCCAGGAAGGTGGCACACATCTGTAATCCTGACTATATGCAAGGTGTAGGCAGAATTTTGAGTTCCAGCCCCACCCTGGCAAAGGTCAATGAAATCTTGTCTCAAAGGTTGCATGTTTTCTCTCATATGTGGAAGCTAAAATTAGTTTAGAAATATTTAAGTAAACACACTGGGTGGAATGCAAGTATATGCAAGTGTATAAACTGAAATGTGGTAGATTCAGAGGAGAACACAGTATAATTCCTTAGAAAGGCAAAAATCACAGTTCAACAAAATAAACACCAGGAAATGGGCACTTGAAAGGGGTGAGGGGGGGATGAAGGGAAGGGAGTAGATGAATAAAGAGAAGAGGGAGAATGCACTCAAAACTCCTATGAAATTAAGAAATATGCTAAAAAGTTAAAAAGAGTGAGGGAAGGGTTAGGAGGAATGGGTGCAAATGTTGAAGGAGATAACATTGATCAAGACACACTGTATTCATAAACTGCTCAGCTGAATGAACATTCCTTTGTATAACTTCTTAAAGATAATAAAAATATTTAAAAATGGAAAGTAAAAGAGAATTTGCAAAATAAAAACAAAAATAAAGGGCTTCAGGTATAGACTGAATGATAGCATGACTGCTAAGCATGCACTAATTCTGGATTCAATCTATAACACAACACACACACACACACTGCCATGAGATATTTGGACACACACAATGCCATTAGACATCTGGCCACTGGACATCTGGATTTCCTGAAGAATGTTTTTCTGAGACTATTAACTTTGCCACTACCCTCACGCTTCAGTACAGGTCATTGAAAACTTGACATCCTTGTCCTTCCCCCACTACCAAGAATTTCCCAGGAAACAGTTGGTTTATTTCCATCACCTCTGGGCTCCCATTTGTCTATCTCTCAACAATTTTTATCGCAGCTTCCCTAAGGCATTTGCTACATCCTGCCACCCCAGGAAGAGGTAACCAGAAGGATAGGTGCTACATGCAGGCTCTGTTAGAGGCTAGAGGAAACAACAGATGATACAGAATCCATAGTGATGGTTAGTACTGAGCTACCATCTGCTTTGTACATCTCATAGCATTTTTAGTCCATTCTTATAATTGTTGCTCCCAAGTACCACAGCCAGTTATTATGGTCCTTCTCATTCCTTCACTCTCGTACCCATTCAACCCTGATAGCAATAAGCACTCATGGAAGGGTGCCATGACAGTGTCGGGAGATGATATGACAAGATCAAACAGCAGGTTAGTCACGGTGGAAAAGGCACTGAAATCCTTTCCAGGAGATTAAAGGTTTAGAGATTGGTAGTTCCAGAATTCTATAAGAGGGACTTAGCAGTGACCATTTAACCAACCAGAAGAGCTCATGAGTTATCTAGAAACTGTATGTGTGGAAGAAGAAGATGATGAACATTAAGCTACACTGCCAGACTCACTCCTTTATTCCATAATTTCTTATGGTGAGATCTGCAGTAGAGGGAATTATGCCAGGGGAAGTATAAGAAAGAAACATAAGGGGTTGGGAAGGTGGCTCAGTGGTAGAGTGCTTGCCTTGCATGCATGAGGCCCTGGGTTCAATTCACCAGCACCACATAAGCAAAAAGAAAAAAGCCGGAAGTGGCGCTGTGGCTCAAGTGGTAGAGTACTAGCCTTGAGCTGAAGAGCTGAGGGACAGTGCCCAGGCCCAGAGTTCAGGCCCCACGACCAGACCGCCCCCCCAAAAAACAAAACAAAAAACAAAAACAAAACAAGAAGTAGCCCAAGGTATATTTGGTGAATATACTTCCCTCTTTCAGGGCATCCTTCTACAAATCTCCCTCAGGAATATTATATCTCAATCTAACATAGGGGAAGTTTTACTCCATATCACCTTCCTTCCCTTAAAGATGCCTAGACCATTGTAACAGTCCCTCATACAATCTTCCAGGTTGAATCCATCTCACCTACTCTGGACTACCTCCTTCATATTTCTAAATATAACTCTGTGTACCTCTTCTCAAAAATCTTCCTTACACTGCGTGATACAGAAATGTGACTTTCAGGATGTCCCTAAAGAAATGAAAGCCAGACTTAAGGCACTCACATACCAATGTTTACAGCAGTATTATAATAGCCCAAAGCGGGAACACAAATATCTTTCATCAGATGAACAGCTAAACAAAATATGGCACAGATACAACATGGAATTACAAGAGAAAGAAATCAGTTTAGAGGATGTTACACACAGAGTTGATCAGCAGGAATGTGAAGAAATAATGTAGGTTTTAAAAGAGAAAGGAGCTGGGAAGGTGGCTCAGTGGTAGAGTGCTTCCCTTGCATGTATAAGGCCCTGGGTTCGATTCTTTAGCACCACATAAGTAGAAAAAGCCGGAAGTGGTGTTGTGGCTCAAGTGGTAGAGCACTAGCCTTGAGATAAAAAGCTGAGTGACAGCGCCCAGGCCCAGTGGTCAAGCCCCACGACTAACAACAACAAAATAATAATAAATAAAAGAGAAAGGAATTTGGCTGGGAATATGGCTTGGTGGTAGAGTGCTTGTCTGGCATGCATGAAGCCCTGGGTTCGATTCCTCAGTAACACATAAACAGAAAAACCTAGAAGTGGTGCTGTGGCTCTGGTGGTAGAGTGCTAGCCTTGAGCAAAAGAAGCTCAGGGACAGTGCCCAGGCCCTGAGGTCAAGCCCTAACACTGGCACAGAGAGAGAGAGAGAGAGAAAGAGAGAGAGAGAGAGAGAGAGAGAGATCATGTCACATACTACAATGTGGAGAAACCTTGAGCATAAGATACTGAGTGAAATCAGCTGGTTACAAAGAGACACATACTGCAGGATTCCACTTACATGAGGTATCTAAAACAGTCAAAATAATAGAAACAGAAAGGACAATGATGGTTTCCAGAGACTCAGGGGAGGATGAAATGGAGAACTGCTATTCAGTGAGTGTAGAGTTTCATCAGCTTGGCAAGATGAAAAAGTTCTTCAGATCTGCTGCAGAACTATGTGAGTACAGTTGAAACTGTTGAACTATGTAGGCAGTGGTTAATATGGTAAACTATGTTCTTACTAAAATTAAATTGGCTTATAAATCTGTTACTGTATTCAAAGATGGCATTGCTTATCTATAGACATGGTTGTGCCTGGATGGACATATGTGGGATATTCTTTTTGAAACTCAAAAAGAGAATAAAATTCTCATCCATGGATGAAGCTTGAATCCATTATACTCAGGGAAATAATCCAGACACTTAAGAGCAAGTCTTGAATAATACCACTTAGAAGGGGGTCCTAGAAAGGCAACTTAACAGAAATAGAAAGTAGAACTGAAGTGGCCAGAGACTGGAGGGAGGAAGAACAGGGAGACACTGATGAAATACTTCTGGAGATGGATAGTGAGGATGGCTACCCAACACTGAAATGGTAATGACTACCCCTGAACTGAAAATGGTTAAAATGATGAGTCTGATGTTATATGAATGCTACTCTTCCTAGCTCCCAAGTTCATCATGATTCCCCCAGCCTCTTCTCCCATCATTCCCTTCCTCATGACTCACATGTCACCCCCTAAATGGGTACCTCACTGTTACCCAAAGTCAAACTTTGGTCCATAATCAAGCATGACAAAGAGCAAAGTTTTAAATTTTCCTTCTAATTGAAAATAGGGCATGGTGTTTTCATGTCTCATTAGAAAAAAAAATCAAGCCAAATTTCTTTGTTTTGCTGGTCACACACATGGTTCTTGTCTGAGTTTTAAATTTCCTTCCAAGTTCAAAGCTCTTGGAACTGAGTGAGACCCCTATATTCTAAATGGAGCCCACTGGTGATTTATTGGGTACATTAAAATGTCCTGTAAAAGTAGACAGTTCTATGCAAATGAGAACAAAGAGAAATTTCTAGTGAAAGCTAATTATATTCTACAGCTAATAAATGCACCAGATAAAAAGAATATTAAGAGGAGAAAATAAAATGCTCTCTATTTAGTTCAGTTTGAAAAGCCCTCACGGATTGGCCCATGAGCAGAGCAAGTGAGGTTAGGGGTGAAGAACACTACCTTTTGCCCAAATCTGTGGCAAGAGTTATTGTTTGTTATTGTTATTGTTTTCTTGTAGTGCCCACAACCAAGAGGCTATTCAAACAGAATATAGGATATGTTACAAGAAGAAGAAACCCAACCTTTAAGAATTCCAGAGGTTGTTGGTTTTTTTTTTTTAATCAGGTTAATGTGCTTTATCTATCCACTAAATGTTTCAAGTAATTCAGATGGATTGCATGACCGCTTTAAATGCAATGCCATTCTTTAATAAGGAATGTCCTTGAAAAGATGTGAAAATATCACTTGGGCTGCCACAATCCTAACAAATAGGCAGTTACCATACTTAGTCAATTATTATCACGGAATTGCATTATTTAGCAAACCTCCAGATAGTAAATCTGAGCTAGCCTATAGGGCCTGCCTAAATTACATATTCCGACCACCTCATCCACATCCTTCTGCCCCACACAAAAATGAAATGAAGCCAAATATATCATAGCAAAGTGGACAGTGTACCAGATCCACTCAACAGTCTAGATATATGCGGAGAAATAATGTTCCATTTGTCCCTCTCAAAAGATTAAAAGCATCTTAATACCATTCCCTGTGCAGCCCTCCTCAAAAATGAAATTTACGGCATGTCACATTTTATCTTAAAAATGTGGTATGCTTCATAATAATTTCATATTTGGGTGCTTTATCAGCAATTTTTACATGAGAGGCATTCAAATTCTAAAACCTCAAAGGAAACTTCATATTATAGACAATGAATCACAAACATTTTTTAAGTTTAATTTGGTGGGATTTTTTTTTAACTTGGGTTTTTATAAACACCTGCTTGGTGTATTATTGAGATAGACTGAAAGTGAATGCCTAACACACTGGATTGTAATGCTAAATTTTATGTTCTCAGAATCTGAATCTTTTAAAATTTACAGGTACCAAAGGACTGTGTGCTGAAAACTCTTGCTAAGCATTATCTAAAACACTAAAAATCTATCTTTGGTCCCACAGAGGAATCTGCAGAGCAGAGCCAGCCATGTACTGATGCTCACTCCTATAACTTAGCAGGCTGTGCAAATTGTTAGGTTATCAAGATCAATGTGTTCTGGTGCAATATTCCTTCTGATTTGCTTAATAATCCAGCCAACACATTTTTTTTTCATGATGCAGAGTTCTAGTGAGCCTGGTTATATTCTAGTTGTTATCTTATCCTACTGCACAAATTCACCATGCACCAGGCTTCTTTGTGTCCAGGGTCTTATAAGTAAATCCCTTTTGAAAGGCTCACATCTAAAATTTCCCATTCCCTTCCTAGCATTTCTACATGACTACCAGGCTTCATAAACAACAACATGCTTTGGTTTTTGTTTTCCTGTTTGATAAATGACTGAACTTCAACAAGGAAGCCATAGAAAGTATAACAAAATCCTTCTCTTCTCATCATTCAGGACAACTCTCTTACATAGGAGTGCCCTAGAAGCCAGTTGGAAAACAGACACAAAAGCTTAAGGCCAGGAATGTGCTGTAAATGTCAGAAAAGCAACAGGTATTTTGAAACAACAGGACCACAGCACAACACATACACAGTGGAACTTACGTTCCCAGATAATTCTGGAGTATTTTCACAACGTTCAATGGCTGAAGTCACAATGAAACCTAAGTGGCTGTTAGTAGAATTGAGCTGTAGACTATGTGCCCATCTTTGGATAGTTGTATCTTACTGCAGAATTAAGAGGTTATTTGGAGAGCTAGAGATAAAACAATACTGATTGTATACCAACCCCATTGGCAGCTGCCATCTGCACTATTGTTTCTATTGCTGATTTATTAAAATACCGCCCATCTCCACCGACCACCATTGATGATCCCTGGCGATCTTTTAGGTCTATGGAAAAGAACAGACTCTGGATGAAATTCTCCAGATAACATGGCTTTGCTTCAAAATAGTAAGTTTTCTTCCGTAATCCACTTGTTCCTGGTTTCTGGTCATGGTAAGGAGCTGTAGCAAAAGTCAACAGAGGGAGAGGACCTTCTTCCATTTTCCTATATTTCCCAGAAATCCATTCTTCAAAATCACTCATCTTTCATTTACACCACTTGGTTCCAGGATGCAGCTGAGATTCTCTCAGATAGTCTGTCCAACATGAAGCTGCCACGGTGTCGTCTGAGGAACTAGCATACAGGTTTTGCCTACACGATCACTCTCAATGAGAAAGCTTGGTTAATTCCGTGTGGGTTTTGTCCCATTTGAGCCACATACCCACCTACAGCCGTGCACAAAGTAAATCTTCAAAGCTGTTTCAGTGAGGCTACTTCTGCCCACACAACTATGCCAGATATTCTTCAATTATTTTTGTCTCATCTCCCTGTTAGGACAGAGAGAGTTCCAAGAGTACTGCCGGCCTTCAGTTACAGTCACCAAAGACTGCCAGACTCCACTCTCAGACAGAGCGGCTACAGTCCCAACAAGCAGGTTAGTGAAAAAGACAGCAGGTGCACCTCTCACTGCCCCTGCTGCCTCTTAAACTGGAGCCAGCCTCTGGGCATGGAGCACTGAGAAGGCCATCTGTAGCTAAAGTTGCTCCCTGCCACCTAGCAAGCTAAAGGTCAAGCTTAAAATGGAAGTGAGGGATCTCATGACTCTTGGTTTCCTTATTTCACTCATTGTGATACCCAAAGGACTTTTTATTTCCCACATATAACCACAAATAGTAGGTGAAAAACAATCATCTAACAGAACAAACTTATTCAATGGCCACTAAGAATAGGGCTGGGTATACAGCTCAATGGTGACAAGTTTATTCCAATCTCTTCACTGGCAAAGAAGCTAGCATGCCAAGATCAGGAGGTGGGGGAGGAAGAGGTCAATACTCAGAGATTAAAAAAAATAAAAATAACCAATAGTAAGTACTCAAGTCTAGAAGAAGAGATACATATAAATATGTTGAATGGCCAACAGCTTGACCATTCCCTTAAATTTACCAAGGAACATGATGAGAATCTATCAAATCTTTGAGAAGTATAAAAACAAGAGTTGAGGGGAGAGAGATGAAAGATACATGTTTTCACGAGTACATGAGGTTATTATATTTAGAAAAATGATAGGAATGTAAGATTCATTTTTAAAACATTCTTTTAAAAAACTGTTTGAAACACATCTGACTTTTAAGAAAACAATTTTAGTGAAGCAGTTTGTCTTTTGCATTTCTGAAAGCAAAACTGTTTAAAAACATTTTACCAAACTGAATGTATTACAAAATTCTATTTGATCTTTGAGATTTTCTTTTTCTCTTTTTCTTTTTTCAGTCAGTTGTAGGGCTTGAACTCAGGGACTGGATGCTATCCCTGAGCTTTTTTGCTCAAGGCTAGCACTCTACCAATTTGAGCCACAGTATGGCTTCTGGTTTTCTGGTGATTAATTGTAGATAAGAGTCTCATGGACTTTCCTGCCCAGGCTGGATTTGAACTGCTATCCTCAGATCTCAGCTTCCTAAGTAGTTAGGATTACAGACATGAGCCACCACCAGCCCAGCTGAGATTTCTTAATAATCTGTTTTTTATATACAGATGTGTTCTTTTTTTTTTTTTCCAGGGCTGAGGACTGAACCCAGGGCCTTGTGCGCGCCAGGCGGGCGCCCTTCCGCTGGGCTAAACCTCCAGCCCCTACAGATGTGTTTTTTACTTGGTCCAACTGTCAATTAAGAAGCTCTGCTGGACTGGAGGTATGGCTCAAGCAGTAGGGAACCTGCTTAACAAGCTCAAGGCATTGAATTCAATCTCCAGTGCTAAAAGGAAAAAAAGAAAAGTCAAGAAGCTCCATTGTAGCTAGAGCGCCAGTGGCTTACTCCTATAATCATAGCTGTTCAGGAGATTGAAATCCAAAGATCAAGGTTCAAAGCCAGCCCAGGCAGAAAAGTCTGAGAGATTCCATCTCCAATTAACCAGAAAAAAAATGCTATACTGGAAACGTGGCTAAAGTGGTACAGCATCAGCCTTGAGTTAAAAAAAAAAAAAAAAAAAGACAAGTGACAACATGAGGCTCTGAGTTTAATCCCCAGAACCCGCACAAAACAAAACTAAATACAGTAGCTCTGTTGTCCATGTTTTGAACTTGTTACAGATTCTTCAAAAGTAAACCAAAACTAGTCACATCCCATGTTTGGAGAGTGACATGCACCAAAGAACCAAAGTTTTTAAGTAAAGAGAGACCTCCCTTAAGCCAAAACTGCTTTCCTCCTAACATGTAAAGCAAGTTCTGCCAGTGTACAGGCTCTGGAGGTGGCGAACTGCCTATGTGAGGGAGCAGCACCCTGTTTTGTGGGGCTTGCTCTGCATAGGACCAGAAGAACTAATCAGGAGAAAGCAGGATATTGGCAAGAGCGCCTAGGCCCCTGCAAATGACAGGCAGGACAGTTCATGTGCAGAGAATCCCTCAAGACATAGAAAATTCACACCACTATTCAACTAAAACCAGTCAGACAAAAAAAAAACAAAACCTACATTTTTACAGTTTATAATAGGGCTCTTAATGAGTTTTCAAAAGAAAATTCCTTAGAAATGAATTTTAAAAGCAAGCTTACATTATTACAAGCTATATAACCACAGTTTTCAACTTAATACAAATACATTTTTAAATTTATACTTTTGAAGTTGTGTGCCAAGTTTCCTCTAGTTTTATACAGGCTTGCCAATGTGGCTGTCATATGTGTCAATAAGAGATCCAGATTTATGAAATATTCCAATAATCTCTTCATTGGAATAACAAAGCAACCCAACCATGTAATTGTTATGTTTTCTTAATGAGATCTCAGAATCCCAAGGGAAATTTGGGGGTACTTGGGCACAAAAGGGTTCCAACATCCCCCACCAAAGCTTCTCATCACATTCTAGCATGTTCTCTGCTGGTGGTCTGCTACTCTCGGGTAAAGCTCTTTCTTAAGAACTATGAGAGCATCATTTTGAGCAACTGCATATGTCTGGCCTGTTGTTTGTCAATATGCAAGCCAGAAGGATGTTCGTTCTTACTGCAGAAAAGCTTCTATTCTAAAAATGGGCTTGAGTCATAATTTTATGGACACTATAGAACTCAACCCCATATAAAAATATTACCAGAAGCAGCAATATTAGATGGACTGTGAAGTATGGTAAAAAAGAAAAGGCATTAAAAACATTAAGCTTCCCGAGACATGGAGACTAACTGGGGCTGCTATTAAGAAACTCATTTGTTTCAGCTCTCCAGCAAAGGTTAAACTTCATCTTCAGAAACGTTACTGTCGAGCATAGCAAACCCAATTTGGCCTAATGAATTCGCCTGCATTGCCAGTACTCCTTCACAATGACACAAATTACATTGAAACCATATGGGGGATTTAAGGATTACTCCCTTCAGACAAGGAACTTTCATACTGGTCTTGGGTCCAATCAATTTCAAAATGGCAGAGTTATGAACCTCTTCATTTCCAGCCTCACAAAGAGTTGGCTTCCATTCTTACCAGCAACGATACCTTCCTAGTGGATGCAGCAGGAACTATAGACCATCCATCTCCCTCCCTTCCACCTGCCTTCCTCCTGTTCTCCTTTTCTCCCTTCCCTCTTTTCTCTCTTCCTCCTTAGCACCTTCCTTCATTTTTTTCCCTTGTGTGTATAAGCCTAGCTACAGAACAAGTGATTTCACTGAATCTAGCCTGTAAAATGGAACTCGCACTCATGGAAACGGGTAACCCACCCTGGGAACACCCAGTGGTATGCCCAACACACCACAGATTGTCAGTAAATCTTAGCCCTTGACCTTTACTCCTCCATGCCTCTCAAGTAGGATCTTAATACCTGCCTCACAAGAAGATGAAGACTGGTAAAGATTATTATCTCACTGACTGTGTCAAGACCCAAGTCTCTGTCAGTTAGATGACCCATGATCTTTTTTCCCCCACATTCTGAAGAACAGCAGGGACAGAAACCCAGGGAAGAGAGGATGTGTTCTCAAGAAGTCACATAAGGAGCCACTGTCATGGTGGTGTGGTGACCTGGGGACTGCTCTGGAGGTCCATTCACAGAGCGGTAGTCTGACCTCGTCTTCTACTCAGTCCTCTTCTCTGACAATTGTCCCTTACGCTATCCTACAGAAATGGAGCCCTGGGGCCATGTTTCTACTAGGGGACCCTAGTTCTGGGGCATAATCCCCAGGAGCAGATCAAAGCTGTTCTTGGAATTTAGAACTGTAGATCCAGTTAGCCCTTAGACCAGAAAGACAAGTAAACTAGGGGTGTTCTGGGGGAGCAAGAAAAGTCATGTCAGGAACATATCCACAGAACTGTTACCAACAGCCAGATGACACATGAGGATACAAGGAGATGAGTGGGATGTGACTTGAGATCATTTATACATGTGTAAGAGTTCTGGCACTGATAAATGGGAAGAATCAGAAACGAATTCAGAAGAGAATCAAGCAGAAAATAGGTTAGATGAATCTTTTTAAGGTACAGGTTCAGATTCATCAGACATGAGAATGAGGTGACATGTTCTGTGAATACAAGTCACTCGAGAATCACTAAGGCACTAGTGTTTGGACCAGAATAGCTCCACATCCAGACCCCTGGCCCAAATGCACCTTATCCAGCTGACATCATCCCCATTCAGCCAGAAAAGGAAATCCCAATCGCTTGAAGTTAGCGAACATATGTTTTCTTTTAAAGTGAACATTTTAAAAATAGATTCATAATTAATTACAAAGATGACAAAGTTTATCTCCTAGTATAAAGACATAAGAAATCAAGTTAGAGTATATCTGAAATTCTCAAGACCAGAAGTATTTTGGATTTTTCTGGATTCTGGGTTATCTGTATATCTATACTTAGATCAGATCTTAGGGATGGAACTGAATTCTAGATAAAATTAATTTATGTAGAATATGCATCAATTATACATAGCATGAAGGTAATTTTATGCAATCTTTTTAGTGTGTTTGCGCTTTGACAGTGACCTGTCATGAGGTTAGGTATGGAACTTTCCATGTCAGGTAAAAAAAATTCAAACTCAGGAGCACTCTGGACTTCTAGGTAAGGTAGGGAGGATTACAGTTCAAAGCTAGCCCAGATAAAAAGGTTTGCAAGGTCCCTTCTCAATCAACAGCTTGACACAGTGGGGTGTGTGCCTGTCATCTTATCTTCAAGGGAGGCATAAAGAGGAGAGTGAAGTCTAGGTATGCAGCGAAACCTTATTGAAAAACAAAGCAAAACAAAAACAGTGCAAAAAAGGGAGCTAATGGCCTAACTCAGTGGTGTAATGCCTGCCTAGCAAGTAAG